CACACACACACACACACACACACACACACACACAGCTTTCCTGGCAATATCTGGACTCTCTCATTTGAAAGGAAAGAGAAAGGCAAAAGAGACCTGCCACTGCACTAAATCCAGCAATCCTGTGACCTTATCCCTTCTCAGTTTAAAGACTTTAGTCATAAGGATTTCACAGAACGCTGGGTCTAGAACCTATTCTCAGGAGGCGTAAGAGACAAAGTTAGCAGATATGCCCCAAATGCTACATAGTGAATAATGGCTATGTAGCCCCAAATCCTTTGCTGTCATGGAAATTCTATCTATGTACATCGGGCAACCAGAGAAGCACAGAAATAAAACATTTATATTCATGAAAGTTCAATTCGATCAATAAAATATTGGTTTATCTTCTGTATATCAGGCAGCCTGTGAAATTAGGTGAGGAGAATTAGTTAGCATTTTTAATAGATATAGCATGATTTGCAACTCCAGAGCAGCTCAGACCTACAGGAGCACAGAGAACTGAGCAGAAAGAACTTTGTGACAACTTTCATTACAGGAAGTCACACAGAATACTAAGAGAATTTACAGGGGACAGCAAATTCAAAATGGGAACAGGGAATGGTGATTCTGGAGTTAGGCGAGGGAGAGTAAGAAAAGGCAAAGTAGAGAACTCTAGGACTGTAGAAACACACTAGGTTGAGAAAAGGCACCATGTTGCATTAGAACAGCAATTAATTATGAAGGGCTATGGATACTATTATAAGGAGTCAAAAGCCAATCCCATAAAAGCAAGGTCAGCACCAAAATTTCATAATTCCTTGGCTCCCAAGTGAAAATTGCATTAGAGGGAAATCAGACTAAAGACAGGAAGGGTAGCCCGGAGGGCCACTGCAGTTATATCGCTAAAAGAGTAAGAGCCACACTTCTGGTATAGAGGAGAATGTACAAAAAAAAAAAAACAATCCTTCTGCAAATAATATCAATACATACTGGATAAGAGATAAAAGGCAGCTAACCAGGTTTCTAGAGAGTTAAATAGAGACAGGCAAGAGACTTGAAACTTGAAGCAAGTGATAAGTACTTTTTGTATTCTCTGTTTTGTTTATTTTTTCTTTTCATTTGTAGCTTTGCCTTCAGAGTAGCAATGCTGTGGTAGCAGCTACAGATAAAATAAAAATTCGTCATAAAGACCATTGTTCTGGTAAAAGAAACCAAGAGAAGGAGTCAGGGCTGCCAAGAGAGAAGTCAAAAGAAAAGTGTGGGGGGATTGGAAATCTGTGCATAGACTCAGCTCAAGTGTCTGATAGATCCTTGAACCATGTTTAAAAGGGGTGAATTAAAAAGAGTCTGCAGCTAATACTTAAATAATGGAACTCAGACCTGAGTTATCATCTATCCCGAGCTTGGCAGGGTGTAGTGGGATCAACAAAATTCATTTCATTTTAAGACAAAAACCTCAGTAATCTTCACAACAAAGAAATAGAAACTAAAGTGTTATGGTTTAGATATGAGGCGTCTCCCAAAAGCTCCTATGTGAGACAATGCAAGAATTTTCAGTGGTGAAATGATATAGATTATGAAGTTTGACCTAATCAGTGGGTTAATCTACTGATATGGATTAACAAAAGTGGCAACTTTAGGAAGGTAGGGTGTAATTGGAGGAAGTAGGTCACAGGAGGTGTGACTTTGGGGCTTATATTTTGTCCCTGGCGAGCAGACCTGTTTCTTGACTGTCAAGTCCTGAGCTGCTTTCCTCCTCTATACACTTTCATCATGATGCTCTGCTCACCTTGAACCCAAAGCAATAGAGTTGGCCAGCTAAGGACTGAATCTCTGAAATCCTGAGCCCCAAATAAACTTTCTCTTGTCTATACTGTTCTTGTCAGGTCTTTTGGTCACAGCAATGAAAAAGCTGGCTAAAACATCTTGTCTCCATAGCAAAGCACTTATAACATCCAGCTTACAATGCAAAAGTTCTTGACATCTGAAGAATCAGGAAAAAATGTGATCTATTTTCAAGGGAAAAAGAATTAACAGACACCAATGTTGATACGACTCAGATGTTGAAATGTTCAGATAAGGACTTTAATGCAGCTATCATAACTATGATCAATGAAGTAATGAAAAAATATGCTTACAAGTAATGCTATAGTTTTAAAAAAAAGAAAGAAAGAAAATATAATAAAGGACCAAATGGGAATTTAGAATGGAGAAGTACAATACTTAAAATTTTTTAAAAAAATATTTTTGCTAGATAGACTTAAGAATGAAAACGATGCCAGGTGTGGTGGTGCATGCCTGTAATCCCAATGGCTCTGGAGGCTTTAGGCAGGAGAATCAGGAGTTCAAAGTCAGCCTCAGCAACTGCAAGGTGCTAAGCAACTCAGTGAGACCCTGTCTCTAAATAAAATACAAAATTAGGCTGGGGAGGTGGCTCAGTGGTCAAGTGCCCCTGAGTTCAATCCCTGGTACCCTGCCTCCCCCACCAAAAAAAAAAAAAGAAGGAAAAAGAAAATGACAAAGGAAGGAATCTGTAAATTTGAAAATATATGAGTAGAAAGTATCCAAATAAAGGAAGATAAAGAATGAAAATAATAAATAGAACTTCATGGAACTATGGGACAATTTTTTGAGGGCTAAAGTAAGAATACTAGAATCACAGAAAGAACAGGGAGGGAAACAAAAGCAGAAAAATAGTCTAAGAAATAACGACTGAAAACTTTCTTGAATTTGGTGAAAGTCAAACATTTACAAAAGAAGTTCAGCAAAACAAACAAAAGAGCACAAGCAGAAATGAAATGGTAGACCAAAATCCAATCATATAAGTAAAATTACTATCAAATTATTCTTTATAATTAAATGTTGATGGGCTCACTGCAATTAAAGGCAGAGACTACTAGAATGTATGAAAAAGCTAAGTCTCAACTATATATTGCCTATAAGAGATTCACTTTAAATACAGAAAAACAGACCAGTTGAAAATGAGTGGATGGAATAAGATATACCATGTAAATAATGAATATAAGAGGGTAAATATGGCCATATTAATATGAACTAAAAAATATTCAAGGCAAAGAGTATTAACTAAGGAACTGACCAATATTTCATGATGAAAAGGTCAATTCATCATCAAGATGTAACAAATAAAAATGTGAACGTATCTAAAAACAGAGGCTTCAAAACACAAAACTAAAAAAACCAATAGAATTAAAGAAATAGTCCAAAAGATATTAAGGGAT